TGTTATCCATGGTTTTAAGAATTTTAATGAGAAAGTTGTTAATAATGTCCATATAACACCCAATATCTGTGTCTACCTGCTATGTGTTCTATAATTACTCTTATTTAGATTCTAATGAAGGATCATAAGTTTGGGTCAGAACTAAGAAAGGAAAATGCCATTAGTGCTAGCTCTCTGATAATATGATAATATTGCCATATATTCATCATGTGGCATATTACATAGGTTTTCAAAATGAGATCTAAAAACTATTGGCACTGTGATCCTCAGCTGAACTCAAATTGCATCATTATATAGCTGAACCAAGATTTAACATGGCATCCTGCCCTACACTTAACAATCAGGATAAACAATGAGATGACCAGATTCCAAAGCACACCAGTATGGCTTTCTGAAGCAAAGTGTATTCTGGAAAGTGCATGTGGTATACCTGTATCAGACAAAAGTTGGAGCTCCTCATCTCCCCGCCAAGCCTTCTAGTTTTGCTAGGACTATACATAGTGTCATTACTCTTACCTAGAAGTCAAACTCACAAGCATTGCGGTTTGTCCCATGTTTACAGAACCAAACAGATGGAAACTGCAGCTTTATGGTAGCTATAGAGGCTGGACCCATTTAAGTGTAGGATTTGGGATTGCCTTATTTATTATTTTTTTAATTTACATTGATAAGACACCTGGTGCTAAACCAGAAATTATCCAATTTAGTCAGCAGGAACTATGTGATGATTCAACACACAAAAAAAAATCTCTAGGCTGTTGATTGTCCTCACAGATGGGGGTGGGGTGTGTGCATGTGCGTGTGTGGTGTGAAAGGAAAGGTTTAGGCACAGAAGGTAGAGGGGAAACCATAACAAATACAAAGGCACTTTTAATTAAGAAATGGGTCAGGTTACATTGGCTGAACTAATTCTGATTAACATCCTGACTGCTGATCTACTATTGCAAAGGTATCAGCTTTGGAGAGTCCAGAAATAGACCAGTAAATAGTAGTAACTAAAGGTTTTATTGACGTCCTCGCAGAGCCATTTCTGTGGATGAAAGTGATTTTTTATGTTATTTTCCTCTTCTCTTTCTTTTGATTTTCCTCCTTTGTGTTACTTTTGGCAGGGAAAGCTGTCATTCAGCTGTAAAGCAGGGAGAGCTGCATTTAGCTGTAAAGCCTAATGTACTGCATGCAGCATGGTTTAAATAAGAGTTGAATAAGGGCTCCCTTATACTTGTTCACAGGCTTAATCCAAACCCTTCCCTTACTTCCAATCAATAAATATCACTGTGTTCCAAGCAAATGAAAATTTGTTTGCCATTTCTAAAGACTACTGAGACCTATTTGTGGTTTGCAGGAGTTGGTTTTGACCGAGAGGCTAGTATACGCTGCTCTCTTGTTCATTCACAATCTGTACTACAGCGGAGACGTAAATTGAGGAGGAGGAAAACCATCTCGGGAATCCCCCGAAGAGTTCAACAAGAAATAGGTATGGTATAAAAATCGTTCCTGGTTATCCTTCTGTCTAGTGCAGGTTATAAAGAGATGAAATGGAAACTGCCCTTCAACCAGCTTCCTTAATCATATTAAACAGTTTTAAGTGGTGGTGGTTATGTGCTGTGGAGTCGGTTTCAACTCATAGCCAGCCTGTATAGGGTTTCTGAGGCTGTAAATTTTTACGGGAGCAGAAAGTCTTATCTTTCTCCTACAGAATAGCTGGTAGTTTCGAACTGCTGATCTTGAGGTTAGCAGCTCTACTCGTAACCACTAAGTTAGAGTTTTTAAATGGTGTTTATTTGTTTAGTATTCTGCAAGCAAGGTGGGAATTGTGTTTTAAATCTCTGTTCCTTGAAATTTGACCTTATGGATTTAGGCATGTAAGTCCAGGTTTTATGGTTGAAATTTGCTAATTTGAAAAAGTTTTATTAAGGTGGAAATTGTGACTAAAAAGCAAGATTCAATGAAGGATTTTTTTGTAAAATTGTAACTTTATTTGAAGAGAGATCCTTTTTGGCATTAATTATTTCCAAAGGTAAATTTCAAGTATATCCAATTAAATATTGAATATTGGTAATACAATAGATAGCCTTTGTTGTTGTTGTTAAGCGCCATTGATTTGGTTCTGACTCACAGCGACCCTGTATAGGGTTTCCAAGACTTTTTAAATTATTGTGGAGCAGAAAGCCTCAGTTCTATCATAGAGCAACTGGTAGGCTCGAACTGCCAACCTTGTGATTCACAGTCTAGTGGTTATCCTATAGAGCTACCACATTCCTCATAGATAGGAATTTTTAGATAGGAATTTTTCAGAATATCTGCTCTGCTTTATGAAGAGCCCAGTGGCACTGTAGGAATAAGCATTGGACTGCTAACTGCAAGGTCAACAGTTCAAACTCCTCAGGAGAAAGATGAGGTTTTCTACTCCCATACATATTTACAGCCTCAGAAAGCCTCATTATGAGTCAGGATCCACTTGATGGCAGTGGGTTTGGTTTTTTGTTTTCTATGGTTTTTAATCTCTATGGCAGCATCTCTTGTAAACAAGATTTTTCTTTCTTATAATGAACACTATGATTTTATTTCACCATGCTTATATTACAAAGTAAAAATGAAAAGCATATTGTAGTGATGCCAAGAAGATAAAATAAATGTCTTAGTTTAAAAAAAGAAAGAGAGAAAAGAAAATTACTTTGTCCATTTATCAGGACCAAGGAATTTGATAGTGAATAGAGGAATAATTCACAAAATAGCTAAAAGCATATCTTCTTTAAAAATGTATGTATGTATGCAGGCAGGTAGGTAGATAAAGATAGATGGGTAGGTAAGATAAGTAGATAAATTCTCCAGAGCATCTTTAACTTTCTCCTAATTATATATATGGGTACACAGATGTGTAGATTTCTCTCAAACCGTTTGTTAACCTGCTGATGTAGAAAAGACCTCACTGTGCTCTCCATGTACCCTAGATTCCGATGAATCACCAGTGGCCAGGGAAAGGAATGTCATTGTGCACACAAATCCAGACCCTGCCAGTGCTGTCAATAGGAGGTCCGGGACCAGGGACTCTGAGTGCCAAACTGAGGATATTCTGATTGCTGCTCCATCCAGAAGGAGAATCAGAGCTCAAAGGGGTCAGAGCATTGCAGCTTCCCTTTCTCATTCCGCTGGCAACATCTCTGCGCTGGCTGACAAAGGCGATGCTATGTTTACCACTGCAGTCAGCAGCCGCACAAGATCTCGGAGCCTGCCCCGGGAGGGTAATAGAGGTGGGGCTGCTGAGCCTAAAGTTGGTGCTAAGCCCTCAGCATACGAAGAGGGGGAGTCTTTCATAGGTGACCATGAAAGAGCTCCCAATGATTGCAGTGAGGCCCCAAGCAGCCCAAGTGCACAGGAAGACCAGCCTGCTTTAGGCCTGGCCTGTTCTCAACATCTTCACAGTCCCCAGCACAAGTTAAGTGAGAGAGGGAGGTCTCGTCTGTCCAGAATGGCTGCCGACTCTGGTAGCTGTGACATCTCCTCCAACTCAGACACCTTTGGGAGCCCCATCCATTGCATCTCCACAGCTGGCGTCCTCCTCAGCAGCCACATGGACCAGAAAGACGACCACCAGTCATCTAGTGGGAACTGGAGTGGGAGCAGCTCCACATGCCCCTCACAGACCTCAGAGACAATCCCTCCTGCTGCGTCTCCTCCTCTCACTGGCTCTTCACACTGTGATTCAGAGCTGTCACTCAACACGGCCCCTCATGCTAATGAGGACTCCAGTGTCTTCGTGACAGAGCAGTACAATGACCACGTGGATAAAGTGAGAGGCCACCGGGCAAACTCCTTTACTTCCACCGTTGCAGATTTGCTGGATGACCCTAACAACAGCAACACAAGTGACAGTGAGTGGAATTACCTACACCACCATCACGATGCCTCCTGCCGCCAGGATTTTAGTCCTGAGCGTCCTAAGACCGACAGCCTGGGCTGCCCAAGCTTCACGAGCATGGCCACTTATGACAGCTTTCTGGAAAAGTCTCCATCAGACAAAGCCGACACCAGCTCTCACTTTTCGGTGGACACAGAAGGGTACTATACTTCCATGCATTTTGACTGTGGTCTCAAAGCTAGTAAGAATTATGTCTGTCACTATGCAGCACTGGGCCCTGAAAATGGCCAGAGTGTTGGGGTTCCTCCTAGTGTTCCAGACTGTGCCTGGCCAGACTATATAGACCACAGAAGGCAAGGGAGACCAAGCATCTCTTTCAGAAAGCCAAAGGCAAAGCCTACCCCACCTAAACGTAGCTCTTCATTGAGGAAGACTGAAGGAAATGCAGAGGTTTCTGAGAAGAAAGAACCAATGATAAGTAGTGGTCAGCACCTGCCTCATAGTTCCAGGGAAATGAAGCTGCCTCTTGATTTCTCCAACACACCTTCTCGTATGGAAAATGCCAATCTTCCCACCAAGCAAGAACCTTCTTGGATGAACCAGAGTGAACATGGTATTACGGAACCCCAGTTAGACAGTTCAGATATTCCACCATTCAAAGATGAAGGTGCTGAATCAACTCATTATGCAGATCTCTGGCTTCTCAATGACTTGAAAACAAATGATCCCTACAGATCTCTATCTAATTCAAGCACGGCTACAGGTACCACAGTAATCGAATGCATCAAATCTCCAGAGAGCTCTGAATCCCAAACATCTCAATCAGAATCAAGAGCCACTACCCCATCCCTACCTTCTGTTGACAATGAGTTTAAACTTGTTTCACCAGAGAAGCTGGCTGGCTTGGCATCTCCATCAAGTGGCTATTCAAGCCAGTCTGAAACGCCAACATCCTCTTTCCCTACAGCTTTCTTTTCCGGCCCATTGTCTCCTGGAGGTAGCAAAAGAAAACCTAAAGTCCCAGAAAGGAAATCCTCACTACAGCAACCCTCTTTAAAAGATGGAACTCTATCATTGAGTAAAGACCTTGAACTTCCAATTATACCTCCTACTCATCTTGACCTAAGTGCTCTTCATAATGTCTTGAATAAACCATTCCACCACCGTCATCCATTGCACGTTTTCAGTCACAGTAAACAAAACACAGTAGGAGATACACTAAGGTCGAATCCTCCACCATCCCTTGCAATTACACCAACAGTCCTGAAATCTGTTAACCTAAGATCCATCAGTAAGTCTGAAGAAGCTAAGCAAAAAGAAGGCGACAATACGGATCTCCCCTACTTAGAGGAAAGCACTCTCACAATGGCTGCCTTGTCTCCAGGGAAGATTAGGCAACATAGTACTAAGAAATCATTATCACGCCAGTACTCCACCGAAGACTCCATACTGTCCTTTTTAGATGCCACTGCAGTTGAGATGGGACCAGATAAAATACATTTAGAAACAAAAGCTACACTTGATGTGAAGAATCATTGTGATCCAGAAATTGCAACCTCAGCTGGTAGCAATCGTCTAGATTCAAATGTCACAAAAGACCAAATAAATATAGAGAGCGAGCCTATTTCAGGAAACACACCAAGTAAAAAGTATGACTTTTCCCCAGAAGAATTTCAGAGGGTCTCTGCTACCCACTCAAATAATGATTTTGATGGTAAAATAACACAATATGGGGCTGGTCTGGATGGGACCCTAGAACAGGTACAGAAGGCATCCTCCATAGATTGGGAGGAACTTGCACAAGCTGAATCTGTGGATATAATCACATCTCAAGCCAACTCACCAACAAAAGTAACAGACATAAGCAATCAACTTAAACATCAACTTGTTCTGAACCACCACCATGACAAAGTGCCTGGGAATATCAGTTATGAATCAGAGATATCAACTGTAAATTCATTCCCTGACAAATGTTCTAAGCAGGAAAATATTGCTTCAGTTATTTCACCCAAAAGTGCCTCTGATAACAGCAGAGCAGAGGAGACCCAAGGAAATGTGGACGAGACTTCTTTGAAAGGTCAGTTGTTGATACCTTTGTCATAATAGATATTTGTCTCATGATGCTTCCTGAAATTCTTTTTTTTTTTACATTCTCCATGATACTGCACATCCCGGAATGTTGGTTTCCTTCCACTATTCTTTTTCACTTATTATAAAAGTTAAGGTTTAAGCTTTTCTTATTGGGGAATTAGGCTTTGACAGATACGTGGTGGTGGTGATGTGCCGTGGAGTCAGTTCCGAATCATAGTGACCCTGCATAGGGTTTCCGAGGCTGTAATCTTTATGGGAACAGAAAGCCTCATCTTTCTCCCGCAAAACACCTGGTAGGTTCAAACTACTGACCTTGAGGTTAGCAGCCCAACTCGTAACCATAATGGTACCAGAGCTCCTTATTTAAAAAGTGGCAGTAAAGTAACTCCTATTTGTTCCCCAAATCGGTGAAGCACAGTGGTATGCTAGTAACTTCCTCTTAAAGGGGCTTCTGTTCTTATTTTAAGAATCATCACCAAGTGATGACTCCATCATTTCACCACTCAGTGAAGACTCTCAAGCTGAAGTGGAAGGTGCATTCGTGTCTCCAAACAAACCTCGAACAACTGAGGATTTATTTGCAGTCATTCACAGGTAAGTCAATATTACCAAGTCCCAAATAACAAGAGGTACAACAAAAGTTTTGCTTCTCATAAGAAGCAAAGAAAAACACTGGGAGGTACACAGGACTAAACAATAACAGTGGTAAATATTATTATGTATACAATCCTGCAATAACATTAATAGCAAACAATAATATATGAGTAGACACATAGGTGGATTGAATGGATATAATAGATATGCAACACATGTGGAGTCCGGGTGTGGTGCTGTGGGTTAATGCACCAGACTGCAGTCCAAGCTCACCAGATGCTCCTTGGAAACCCTATACAGGGTCGCTATGGGTCGGAACCGACTTGATGGCACTACACAACAACAACATGCAACACATGTGGGAATGTACACTCATGAATATAAAAGGGTAAGTTAAAAAGTATTGCTACCAGGGTTCCAGTCCCTATATGTAGTTTCTTCCAAACAAAACAACTTTAAACAAGCCTCTGCCTTCAGTGGCTGGCTGCAGACAAGTTCTCTCAGTGATACACTTAGTCTTATTAAGGCGCCTTCAAAACAACAACAAAAGGTCCAATCAAAACAGTGACTTGCAAGGGATTCTGCTGGCCAGTTCAATTCAAGACTGAGAGGTCTATCAAGGTCAGTTCAGTAACTTATGGTGATTGCTTTTTGGAACTCCAAAGGTTTCTTTACGGACACCATAATTCAAATGTGTCAATTCTTCTATGGTTGTCCTTATTCATTGTCCAACTTTCACATACATTAAAAATACCATGGCTTGGGTCAGACTCGCCTTAGTCCTTAAACTGATATCTTTGCTCTTGAACATTTTAACGGGGTCTTGCATAGCAGATTTGCCTAATACAATAAGTCATTTGACTTCTTGACTGATGCTTTCATGAGTGTTCATTGTGAATCGTAGCAAAATTAAGTCTTTTTCTCCATTTATCATGATATTATTTATTGCTCCAGTAGTGAGGATTTTTGTTGTCTTTACAATGAGGCACAATCCATACTGAAGACTATATATATAGTCTTTGATCTTCATTAGTAAGTATTTTAAGTCCTCTTCCCCTTGCACCAAGCAAGGTTGTATCATCTGCATATGGCAGGTTGTTAGTAAGTCTTCCTCCAGTCCCAATGCCACATTCTTCTTCATATAATCCAGCTTCCCATATTATTTGCTCAGCATTCACACAGAATAAGTATGCTGAAAGAATACAACTCAGGTGCACACCGTTTCCAATTTTAAACCATTCAGATGTTTTCTGCATCATTCAGTATTTTGCCCACAGAATCCTTTTTGTTCTGTTCTAATGACTGTCTCTTGGTCTATGTATAGGTTTCTCATGAGCACAGTAAAGTGTTCTGGAATGTCTATTCTTCACAATGTTATCCAAAGCTTGTAATTCACACAACCAAAAGCCTTTGCACAGTCAATAAAGCACTAGTCAACATATTTCTGGTGCCTGGTGTGGCACTATAGGATAAACGCTTGGCCACAAGTTCGGTCTGAACCACAAGATCAGTGGTTCAAACTCACCAGACACTCCTTGGAAATCCTATGCAGGGTTACTATGAGTCTGAACTGACTCAATAGCACTTAGTTTTCAGCCAAAATTCATCTGACATCAGAATTGATATCCCTCATTCCACATCCTCTTCGGAATCCAGCTTGAATTTTTGGCAGATCCCTGTCAATGTACTGTTGAAGCCATTTAAAATTATCTTCAGTCAAATTTTACTTGCATGTGATATTAATATTGGTTGATGATTTCTGCATTCTGTTGGGTCATCTTTCTTTGGAATGGGCACAAATATGGGTATTTTCCAATCAGGTGGCCTGGGAGCTGTCTTCCGAATATCTTGGCATAGATGAGTAAGTGCATCTAGGGCTTCATCAGTTTGTTGAATGATTTCACTTTGTATTTTGTCAATTACTGGAGCCTTGTTCTTCACCAGTGCATTCATTGCAGCTTGGACTTCTTCCTTCAGTACCACTAATTCTTAATCATATGCTATCTTTTGAAAACTGCTGAACATTAACCACTTCTTTTTGATACAGTGACTCTGTGTATGTTTTCTGCATCATTCAATATTTTGCCTATAGAATCCTTCAATAATGCAAGTTGAGGCTTAGATTTTTCTTCAGTTCTTTCACCTTGAGAAATGCTAAGCATGTTCTTCCTTTTGGTTTTCTAAAGCTAGGTCATTGCACACTTCATTATAATACTCGACTTTGTTTTCTTGAGCTGCCCTTTGAAATTTCCTCTTCAGCTATTTTACTTCCTCATTTCTTCCATTTGCTTTAGCTTCTCCATGCTCAAGAGCAAGTTTCAGAGCCTCTTCTGACACCTATTTTGGTCTTTTCTTTCTTTCCTGTCTTTTCAATGACTTTTGCTTTCTTTCTGTATGACATTCTTGATGTCATTCCACAACTCTTCTGGTCTTCAGCCATTAATGTATATATAATGCATCAAATCTGTCTTCAAGATAGTCTCTCAATTGTCAAGATACGTTTAAGGTCATATTTTCCCTCTCATGGGCTTGTTTTAATTTTCTTCAGCTTCAGCCTGAATTGGCATATATAAGCAATTGATGTCCTGTTCCACAGTCTGCCCTTGGCCTTGTTTTGGGCTAATGATATTGAACATTTCCACCATCTCTTCCCACATATATAGTCAATTTGATTCTTGTGTAGTCAACCTGGTGAGGTATGTTCTTTAAAAAAGGTACTTGCAATGAACAGTCATGGTATTGCGGAATTCTATCATATGATCTCCTTTTCTATCATTTCTATCACCAGTGCCCTATTTTCCAACTGTTGAGCCTTCTCTTTGTTTCTAACCTTCACATTCCAATCACCAGGAATGATCAATACATCTTGGTTGCATGTTTGATCAATTTCAGACTGAAGAATTTGGTAGAATTCTTCAATTTCATCTTCACAGGCCTTAGTGGTTGGTGCATACATTTGAATAATAATACTATTAACTAGTCTTCCTTGTAGGTGTATGGATATTATCCTATCGCATATAGCAGTGTACATCAAGATAGATCTTGAAATGTTCTTTTTGATGATGAATGTGATGTCATTCCTCTTGAATTTGTCATTCCTGGCATAGTAAATCATATCATTGTCAGATTCAGAATGGCCAAACCAGTTTATTTCCACTTACTAATGCTTAGGCTGTCGATCTTTATGCATTCCATTTCATTTTGGACAATTTTCAATTTTCCTACATTTATATTTTGTACATTCCATGTTCTGATTACTAATGGATATTTGCAGCTGTTTCTGTTCATTTTGAGTTGCTCCCTATCAGCAAATAAAGGTCCTGAAGCTTATTATCACCATCATGGTTAGTTCTACTTTGAGGAGGCAGCTCTTCCCCAGTTGTATTTTGAGTGCCTTCCAACCTAAGGGGCTCATCTTCTGGCACTGTATCTGACAATGTCCTGCTGCTATTCATAAAGTTTGCAGTGCCTAATCATTCAGAAGGGCTCCACCTCTCCTTCTTCCTAATCTGCCTTAGTCTGGAAGTTTCACTGAAGCGTATCCATCATGGGTGATGGTATTTAAAACACCAGTGGCATAGCTTCCAGCGTCACAGCAACATGATAGCCACCACAGTAGGACAAACTGACAGAGAATAAGTGGTCATGTCATACAAGTTATAGCACTCCATAATTCTGATATCAACCACAATTCCTCCCCTCAGTGTGCTCTTGAACATCCTAGGGTTCCACAATTCACTGCAACAGCTCACAGAATTCAAGGGTCATCAAGAAAATAGCTCACATGGTTGTGGAGGCTGTCAAGTCCCAAATCTGCAGTTCAGGTATCAAACTAGAGTATTCTCCTATCTCACAAAGAATTGGACTGTTGACTAACAAGGTTGTGGAATCTGGCAAATCAGGTCAGGCTATTGGCTCAAGTCCCAAGAACCACAGGTCAGATAGAGGCAAGTTTGATTAGTCAAGCAAAGGAGCACATAGCCTACTCACATCACCAAGATGGCTCAGTTTATACCCCTGCTAGAGTTTCAAGTCTTTACAGTCTTAATTAACTCAGTTAACAGCCACTTCTGAATCATGGCATACTATCAGCATCTTCTCCCACCTTTTCTCACCCAGACAGATCCATCAGGAAAAGAGTCATTTGGTGGGAGTTACAAAGATTAAGGCTAGAAGAGACATACGAAATAACTAACTACACTACATACACACACAAATACATACATACATATATGTGTGTGTGTATATTATTTAATATGTCTCTTCTAGCCTTCGTCTTTGTGTGTATGTATGTGTGTATGTGTGTATTGATGTTAAGTGCCATTGAGTTGGTTGACTCACAGCGCCCCTGTATAGGGTTTCCGAGGATGCTAATCTTTGCAGGAGCAGAAAGCTACATCTTTCTCCCTTGGAGTAGCTGATGGGGCTCAAATCACCAACCTTGTGGTTCACAGTCCAGTGCTTATCTTACAGAGCCACCACACTATATATATATAGTTCAGTGCCATTGATTCAGTCTCAACTCATAGCAACCCTGAATAGGGTTTCCAAGGAGCAACTAGTGGGTTTGAACCACCACCTTACAGTTTAAATTGACTTTGCGGTCCAGTGCATTATCCTGCAGTGCCACACCAAGCCAGTGCCACACCAGGACTGTGTGTGTGTGTGTGTGTGTGTGTGTGTGGAGAGAGAGAAGAGAAAGTGAAGGAATCCTGGTGGACTTCAAGATCGGTTTGAACCACAAGGTTGATGGTTCAAACTCACCAGCTGCTCCTTGGAAACTCTTTATAGGGTCTCTATGAGTCGGAGCCGGCTTGATGGCATTTAACAACATAAGGTTGGCAGTTCAAACTTACCAGCCCCTCCTTAGATACCTTATACAAGGTTGCTATGCATTGGAACCAACTGGACAGCACTTAACAACAACAACATATAAACTTCACTGGTTTTGGTTCTCTAGAGAACCCAGCCTAAGGCATGCACATGTATGTGTACATGTA